AATATATCATATTTATAGTCGAATCGTAATTCTAACTTTCTAAATAAATTTATGTAATGTAAAGCATTTCCGATAATATATTACACTCTATTTTTTCCACTTAACCAGACAGAAACAAGATAAATATGCTAGAGTTATAAAATTAAGATTTAAGAGATGACCTTTAAATACATGCAACGGCTTGATAATTGGCCAATAATATATTTACGAACTTTTTGTGTTTAATTAAACGAACGCGATTTAAGTCGATCTAATCGCGCGACGCGACCATCCCGGCGACCGTCCGTCGCTTACAAATAAATTAATTCCCGATCTAAGTCTAAACGGCCGCGTAAGCCGCGCGATCCCCTCATTTGCATATCGATCGAAAGTCGCCCCATAAGTCTCTGCAAATCGTTCGTTATAAATCGCCGCACAAAACTGGTCGACGGCCGGAGGATACTTACCTCCTGTAATCCTCTTTCCGCAGTATGCTACATTGAAAAGTCCGCGAAACTTATTTCCGCCCGTACCACTTTCGACGGGCCGGATTGCGTCATTAATTAATCGCTATTAACCGCGGGAGATACGACGCGATATTTTTAATGCGATGACTAACTGTGTTTCTGCTTAAGAAAATTGAAGTGGTGATATTTATATCTCACTCGCTCACCGCGCACGGTGACTCGTCTTCGAATACGCCTCGCGACGCCAATTTTCCGTGACGGAGGTAACATAATTGAAATAGTTATTTTAGAAAAGTTTCATTCAATATCTGAAGAATAATTGTAACGACATATTATTCCCTATAGAGAAATTCGATAAAAAAATATTTCAAATTATGTATTACGGTTCTTTGTCGTTTATTGTTTACAAAAATAATTTGCGCAATATCTAACGAGGTCGAATCTATATTATTTGCAAGAAAGAAATTGCAGACAAGCATATTGAGAACGAACAAGCCATCTTCAGTAAATCGGCTAATGTAATGACAAACCATCATCATTGAGCTCGATAACGACAGCTTCATTATCGTGTAAACAGAACATCTTGATGTTTCGCAATTGAGAGTCGTATTCCAAATCATCAAATGTTTGGTTAACAATCCCGCGATGGAATGTCGGCTTCTCAAGTATAAATGTATGCAGCTTTTCTCCAAAAGTTATGTCAAAGACGCGTAATAATCAATAATATTGATTAGAATCGTGACACAATAAAACGTTTGCTCATGCAATGAGAAGTGAATAAATTTACAACTATTTTAATTTTGCTTAAAAAAGCTACGACTAACTTCGTATTAAAAGTAAACAGTACCAACTATTCAAACGAGATAAATTTGAATAATTGCTTTTTAGAAAATATGCGCTTAATTAAAAAATATAAGAACAAGACTTTTATTTACCAAAAATATCTTGATAATTAATTCGTTTTGCGATAAATTTCAGTGATAAATTTCTCGTCTGCCGTAGTGAAATATTTTCATATCAGAAACTGATATGAAAAGTTTCGCGACACGTACTGTTTTCTCATGTAACGTAAACGAATTTCGGTGAACCCGGAGCAAGGTCGTGAGACTCGAGAACTGTACTTAATGAAAGTAACCAAAACCACTGTTTCGTTTTATCACGTCGCGATATCCAAATATATCCTTATCGATCCTGTGCCAAACAAACAATTCGTGAGTCAATAAATCGGCACATCGAGTACGTACCCTCCAAGAATAAATTCGATGGCATCAGCGAGCCCCATCATCGTCTACCAATATCACTGACCGCAGCATCTTCTCACTCAAAAGTTAATCACCTCTCACCCACGCACGCCCCACCACGTTGTCCGCCTTTCGAAAACTTCCGGTACCACGCCGGACTCGACAAATCGAACTCTGGCTTTTCAAGAGAGAAGCTCTCTCGATCTCTATTAAGATTTTTCTTCAAGAATCTTCAGAAATGTTTAAATTCCTCCGTTAATTTCGCTCAAAATGATATACTGCAATTCTGCGTTATAATTATTTTCACAAATTATTATTATTTTCATATTTGTCTTGAAAACTTTTCTCATTTTGAGTTTCTTAAAATAATGTAGAAGTATCTTTTTCAAGAACTTTTCAAAATATTTTACGTGCTTTCTTTGAAGATACTGTTCAAAGTTCTCTCGAACAACCCTTAAGAGCGTCCTCGAGATTCTCGTTGAAACTCCGCCGAGATTTCTCTTTGAGCCCTTTTCGATGTGCTTCGGGATGCTCTCTTCGAGGTTTACCTCGGGGTTCTCTTCAAGGCCGTCGCACGAGTCACCGGCGTTCACGTACGGGCGTGGCGGATGCCAAAAAGTTTCACCGGGTACTGACGGTGATTACGAAAGAAGCGATAGACGAAGCAGAAGCAAGAGGAGAAGATCGCTAGATGCACAAGCGAGGAACGCGATGCCACCTTGGTGAAAGCCACCGCGAAGAAGACGCTCCCTTGCCGCGCCAAGTGCCGCTCCCGCCAAGCGGAAGATTATCTAAATAGACTCCGCGGGCCAAGGAGAGAAGGAGCGGGCGAGAATACGACGGCGGAGGAGGAAGAAGAGAGGGCTCGCAACGAGGTGGTATTTATACGTCGTGCCTTTGGAGAGCCAGTGGCCGCGACCAGGAACATCCCTCTTCGTGTCCGCGGACCAAACGCGCCGCATTGATTTTCTTCGGCCTTCCGTTGGAATTCGCGGGGCGCGCCGTAAGAGGAATTAACAGCCTCATCGGCAATAAGATCTGAGAGAACGGGAAGAGAGGAAAAAGAGAGAAAGAGAGAGACGCGGGTTAATCAGCCGCGCCGAGCGAAACCGAGGACCTTTACTCTTCGGTTACATCGTCCCTGTATGCATTTCTTGGGTGGTAGAGATTACTATGAGATCTAATCTGAGTCCCGTCCCCGGATTTATTTCACTGTTTAACGCAGTTGGAACGCAGTTGTATCTTTCGAGAAGTAATTATGTACGAGCGCGTTGTATCCCAGGCTTGTCGCGTTTCCTCATATCTTTCGCTTTCATCGACAAATTCGGATTTTATTTCCACAGAAATTCTATAGCTGTCATCCGTTTGCGTAACACTTTTCAGCATTCAATTGTAATGTGCAATCAAATATTCAACACTTGTCAGAATTAATTTATAATTCTGTTTGATAAAATCTTGTATTTTACATGAAACTAATTATTAAAGTTTTTAGTTAGTTCAGAACAAAACTGTAACTTGCACATGTGTCATATTTAATTTGTTGATATTATTATTAAAAATTTACTTTTATGATTATTGTAATAAAGTACAAGAGATACGATTGTTATCAAGTTCGACAAGAAATTGCAATAAAGGAAATCTGAAGTTGCACACCTTCACAGCTGTTTTAATACAAGTGTGGATATCAGGTGCTGAATCTTATTGCCGCGTTCGTGCGCGAAATTCCTTAGACGCTCACGTAATCATGGATACAATAAGCTCAGTAAAAAAAAGAAAATAAAGTTTGCACCATTTGTATAATCAACTGCAAGGAGCAACGGGCCGCAAAGGAATGTCTTGTTTGTCCTCTCGTTCCTTAAGACTTCATACTTTACACTTGATGGCACCATAGATTTCGATAATCAATTTGAAAAAAAAAAACAGCAAATATTCGATAAGCGTGGCAAATATTAGAAATTCCACAGATCTTCTAAATTAGCTTGATAACGCGCATACCGGTCTGTTAAAATTAGCAGCAAATAAGACAAATCATTATTCCGAATCTCTTTAAAGATAAGTTATTAAAACAAGAAATTATATAGAAAGAAAATATATTAATAAATATTGAATAGAGAGTGACGATATTTGTTAAGTAAAAAAAATTAAATCATAATAGGCAAAATTTATTTTATATTGTTGTATATATATCGGCTCCAGAAAAGAAGAGAACAAAAAAAAATGGTAAATTATGGATATAAATACAATAGAGAGGGTCGCGCCGGCATTTATGAATATAACGTTCGCTCGTTCCCGCGGCGTTGTTCGAGCGGAAAACATCGCAATTTTTTGCCGATCGGTGAAAGTTCACCAGTAAATCCCAAGCAATCCCGGAAGCCACGTTCCTCCGTTCGTCGTAGCGTGCAAAGAATCGGTATTGTGCACACGCGCGCTCGCGCGCGAACGAACGCGTGCAGCCGCCGTTGGTACAGGCCGTTTCAGCACGGGCCGTTGAACCGAAACGGCCAACCGGAACGACGCCCGGTACTTTTTCCTCCCCTTCAATAACGGGCGATCCGCGCGCGCGGATACTAATCGAGCGAAAATCAAGGACGCGCTGGCGAACGTTGTGCCGCGCTTGACTTCAGGGCCAAGAAAGTGCGTGTTGCATCGCAAATGCAAGAGACCCGTCGATACACACAAGAAGAAGTAAATTTTCATAGATTTTTTCACAGCACTAAATTTTACGAGATATCCTCTTATCAAACTTCAAATTTTCTGCCTAAACGCAAATTGCTCAAATGTATCGAAGTGAAAATAGTCTTATATTATTTATGTGTTGCATAATTTTTTATTTGCTTAAGAATCATATTTTTAGACTTCATACTAAATGAAAAAAAATTATCCGATTTCTAAACTCTTATTTGATATAAAAATCAAATATTCAATGCAAATATAAAACTGGATCAAGTATGTTTACAGTTAAATATACGATGAGAAGATGTATCGAGTGGAGAGATCACTTGATAAATCTTCCAATTACATTTTTGCTCATTTTAGAATGTTAAAGTCTCAGAAGTTTCTCAAAAGTCTCTCAGAGAAATCTAAGATCTTGGGATATTTTAACTTCGTTAAACGCAAAGATCCTATCATCCCTTAAACCTCTCATGTTTCTCGTATAAGGGTCAACTCGTTTCCAAATTCTCGGAGTTTAATCCTTGTATCGTTTATAACATTATTATCTTGTTCTGCGATCTTCGAAGCACACTTCGTATCCGATAATCACGCATTTCGATGATACAACGCAAAAGTTTTACACATTGCTGTAGAAACTTACTTATGCAGACAATCGAAAATACTTTCGCCGATGCCCTCCTCGTGATTACATCTGAGAAAGTACACATGCTGAGTGACAACGCGCAGATCCATCATTCGAAATCCGTCAGTGAGATGTGTCACTTGTCAGACGAAAAACTTGACACTGGAATTTTCGTCAGTACGCCTGCACTCGCCGTACTTGCACGCGCGCTTATAGCGACAGTTATTCGCGTCAGTCACTCGGGAAAATCAGCGATTTCAATCACCCGTCCACGAAGGAGAGATCCAGTCGAATCGCCGAGTCGATTTTACTCAACCGCGCGCACTGGCACAACGTATATCCGTGGCACACATCAGCACAACGCAGTCGTTCTACAAATCTAGATACCTCACTTCCTCCCGATTCCGTCTTCGGACCGTTTCTTTCCGGTTTATCACCTGATCGCACAGCGAGTCGATCCGCGATTGCGATCTCAATAAACACTGCGATATTCTTTTATTTTATAATTATTTTATGAATCGTTAAAAGTGCGACATTTTTTGTCTCGTCTAAATTAAATTCGTGGTTTGATTTGCGCCGATCTTTACGCGTGCCATTGACTCGGAAAGAAATGATATTCAAACATAAGTTACAACTACGATTCATATGTCGAAGTTTTGCTCAGTGATATCAAGAAACAATTTTGCGCGATACAAATCGCAGATTTGCACTTTCCCACTTCACTTCAATTCTGTCGATGGACTTGGAGTCCACTTTTGTTCATTTTTCTCCCACAATAACCTAAAAGAGTGATCACTTAATATGCAGAATCGATTTAGCTAATAAATTTTCGATAAATCCATATTCGTTCTACTTGTTCATTATTTGCATAAGAACACTCCGCACAAGACTGTCTCGATCATTTCGATCTGTCCACGAACAAAAGCATCACGCAATCTCTCGATTTTCAGATAAAACAATCAACATGCATAAAATTGATAGCGGAATTAAGTTATTAATTGACGCGATAAGACTCGTAAAATCCGATTTACGCGACCGATTGTAAAATCCTCTTGCTCCAGACGCGTATCCACGAGACTCACAGGTTTCACTGGTTCTCACGTCCTTCACCCCGCGAAGGTGATCGCCGCGCACAAAAGACGCACTCGCGAAATCGGCTCCGACCTCGATCAGCGCGGATCGGTCCCGGCGGCAGACTCGCGGCGCGCGCGCGAGGACGCGTCGCAGGCGATCGCGGACGATCTACGGGATCGCTCGAACGTTGGGACCGCTCGGCGCGACGCTCGAGTGTGTGTGCGTAATCGCGGCGATATACTACGGCGGCCGCGATGCGGTTTCACGGGTGCAGGGAGAAGGGAGTTACATCAGAGAGCACGAAGAGTCCGCGCGGCTCAGCTCGGCTTATCGTTCACGACGACGACGACGACGAAGGCGACGACACAGCGCGCTAGAACGCGTCGCGCCAAGTTTCCGCTTCGACTCCGCTTCGCTTCGCGAGCGGCGACGACGGGACCGACGAATGGCCGTCCGGATCCAGCTGGGCACCACGATGAAGCTGGTCCGACTCGACGCGAGAGACCATGGCGCGCATGCACGAGGCAAGGCGGACCCGACAGCACGAACCGGCGCGAAGGAACGGCTTCGACGGCGCGGGAGCGCGAGCGAGAGGGGCCCGATGGAGCCTAATCTGACCGGAGGGGCTCCTATATCCTCTTTGTGCTAACTCCACCTCGGCGAAAGGTGGCCGCCGACCGTGTGAGATTCTGCAGTCGGTCGAGATTTTCCTTGCCGACGATGCATTCAATAGTGACGGTGATATCAGTTTCAACGAATTTTTACATGTAATGTCGGAAAGCTTGTATCAATTTTGGTAAGCAGCGAGTAAATTTAATTAATATATCATTATTCTTTTCATGAGAATTCTCCCAAAGTTTAATTTAGATGTTATATTTTGAATAGCATTAATTTTCCTGGGATTTTTATTTTTAACGCCTCATTTGCTTGGACAGTTTTATTTAAAATCTTAATATTACTGAGAAATTTATTATCATGCATCTATAGATTCTTTAGTCGAGATTCGTATTTCGCTTGAGCGGGAGAAATCTTTGATTCAAACATCGCATCGCGTGGCTGCGCTCCGCGCCACGCCGGCTAAATATTTCGCGGAATATATTAAGATATTAGTCACGTAACTAACCGCCACCACTATCAAAGCAAAGTAATTTTCACGCAATCACGGAGCACGTGATCCAGAACATGTGATACTTTAATCTTGATACTAACATTTACACGTTCATTTAATAATAACCGATAATTCACTAGGATATAATTATAACTGCTTTCTAATTTCTATCAAACGGCATTCTTTAGATAATACTTTTTCAAGTATGATTTTAAAACATGATTTACGTTAAACATAAGTTAAATTAATTAATAATGTAGAAAACATACAATATTATTAATCGTAATATTTTTTTATGTAGATATGAGAATATTTTAAGAAAGCTTCAAGTATTAAATTTAAGTCCTGCAAACAAATAAACCTCAGATATGTCTCTTGTTATCAATTCTTTAACTCATTGTCAAACTGCGTAGACGTGCAAAGGATCGAGTTTCGAGTTGCAGATAATTCATCTTAACGGTGAAATCGTGACATGAATATTCAAGAAAAGAAATTGTTCTTCGTTTTATCATGCACATAAATTAACATTTGTATTAACATATTTGTATTTTCACACGTTTAATGAACCTCTTAAGATTAAGTCGAGACTGTACGGCGTAGCTTATTGTTGAGTTGTTCGAGTTATCGCGAACGCGGCATATCTCAGCCTCTCTGTCCTCTCTCTGATGCTGATATTCACTTCGTTCAACTCGAGTGACTCTAGTACTCCAAGTACGTCAAACTCACTCGAGCGGTTACAAGCAACGGCGGCATTACTCCAAATTCGATTCAATAGTCAAACAAATAGCGCATTCCAGCGACAGATAACGCGCGCCGCCGAAATATTTTCCATCCCGGCCGAAATCAGCTGACTGCAAAATTAAACAACTGAGACAAGGCGTGCGATAACAGTTTTATCGCAATGATAATCATTTTAAAGTCTGTTGTGAACGCTCTTATTACAATGCTCCCACTGCAACGTTTGAATTCATCCTGCAGCAACAGTTGCATTCATATGCATCACGCTTTCCGTGCACAATTTGGCGTTATTTTAATATATCTTCCTCTATATTTATCTATCATTTAGTAAAATAGCAAGTCTTTTGACGCTTCGAGCTTCTTTTACTGACATCTTTATGCAGACGCGATTGTACGATTTACGGTTGAAAGTAGGATTGTCTGAAGAAATTTACATCAGCCAAAAACTGCAGACGCTCTTCGATAAACAAGTCGCGTAAGCAATCGTGCACGCGATACATATATACGTGCATTCGAAATCGTCTGCGTTCATCGGCAGAAGCGGCGCGACGGAATGGCTGCTGGGTTACTGATTACTCCGATCTGCTCAATTTGACCGAGGTATGAGAAAAGCCACGTGCCGGGTATTGGTTGAAGATTCTCGCAGCGTTGCCAGCCCAGGGTTGTCTTTTCTCCCGACCATTGACGACGTTGAAGTTCTTCTCGACAATATGGCAACGTTGACAATGTCGCGTGCGAGCTGGCATGATGCTCCGAGCCCGACACCTAAATCGAGAGGCAGTTTACAGTGGTCCACCGGGTGCTAAGAAGCTTAGTGCTGCCGATATAGTAGCACACGATCGTGGAAAATGATACGGAAGAATGGAGAATGGGAGAAATGTGTATGCCCGCGCATACATACACATACACACATGTATTTATAGCCTCTCGACTAGCCGGCATCGGAGACTATGCGACGCATCTCCTTGCTCCGCGTTCGGCGCTGCCGATTGTGTTAGTGGGAAGTTTAAAACCACGCGCCGATCAGTAGGCGGATGTTAATGAATGAAGAAGTCATTCGAAGGATTTTTGCGGAGAAGAACAATGCTCCAGAATTAATTAATATTCTATTATCAAAGAAAAAAACTTTAGCCATCTCTCAATTTAGAGATCTGTTTTTTTTCCATATAAAATGCATCCATTTAGTTTTCTAAATAAATTAATCTTTCTTACGCAATTATTTCTGATTAAAATAAAATCTGACAGAATCGCATATCTCATTCTTTTATTCTCTATAAAGATATCTTTATTACGATAATGTAGACTCATCGTTAAAGCTTATCGTATGACGTCACTGCGATCGTCATCTGCCCTGCGAGATTACCGATGGACGTGATATCTCTCTGAAGATGCCTTTGATATTAGATATGCTTGCAGTAGTATTTCTCGGTAATGCAGTGTCAACTGTGACGCGGGTTACTCTTGACGCCTTTGCAGCGCATGGATCAAAGATATTACAGCTTCTTTCGCAACTGTTCCTTCGCTTGTCATTCCCCGAAAAGATTGTGGGAAGAATTCAGAAAAAAATTATCTGCGATTTGTATTCACATTCAATGCGATAAATAGTGTTATTATTAAAATCCCTCAACTTTATTTAACCGTAATTTTATCATTACGACCATTTGATACGATTAGTTTCTTGTTTTCATTGTAAATTTTGTGTCGTCTCCGACTGGAAATATCTTGCGCTTTATAATATTGCTAATCCCGATGACGTTAATCCTACTTGTCGATGATCTACGGCGCCTTAGAGCACCGCTATCCCGAGGAATGTCTGGATCCATTACGCCGTTCGTTGTTGCGCCCAATGACTGTGAGGATTTATAGATGCATGTAGGCACTGTCCTCTCCGGAGTGAATGGGTCTTATCGTTTCATGGAGCTCCGTGAAATTCCTCACGGCCGGCCGACAATGATGGCCAATCAACAAACCATTCTGATCGCCGCGTACGTCGCTTACAAAAGAAAACTTTCGAACATGTCTGTCCAGAATTTTTATTAATCTTCGTAGCTCTTCAATAATTTTTTTGGTATCACTTTCGGGTTATTTTGTTTTGATCAAATTACATCGTCTTTCGCGATAGCATGAGATGCATAAAATAATCCTCTTGGTAGAATACGGCGCTCTTCGGAATTACATTTTTGTCGTCAGTATGAATTATCATCGATAAGTCTTGCGTTATTATTTGGTTCCAGACAATCTGTTTTCCCTTGCGGTACCAAACTGGTGGTTCGCTACGGAAACCGCGGTCAGGTAACACGAAACCGTTGCACTACATTTTCCGCGGGTTAATCACCGATGACGCTGACGGCGCGGTAATACATGTGGCCATAGCAGCGGACTTACTTCAAGAATATATTAACAAAAAAAAAATAGATTTTTCTTTTTCTTGCTCTATTTTGAGAAGTATCTAAAAGTGTAGTTGCGACACACGTTGTATAATATCTATTTTCACCTCCATTCATGAAAGAAGAAATTATTTTTCGTCGTAGAGAGTTATACGTCACGTAACTCAAGAATCACGCAAATTATCACTTGTTTGACACAGGCTTTGCGATACGCTCTTTGAAATACGCGGCGAATTACAAAGCAGCGTTACTTTACTCTTCAAACGCACAGCTTAATAGGAAATAAAAGTGTGGCTATTGCTATTTCTATCCAGACTGACCTTGTGTCGTGATATTAATAGAAATATTATGGTAAATGAAAAAGTATCGATTGCTGTTATTGTGTATTGAGTTTCGTAATTTCTATTTTTATGAAGTAAATTTAATATTAATTTCTGCAGAGTTCTAATTATTTTATATAAATTAATCATTATATTACTTTCAACGAATAATGCTTGTGATATTGATAAAAAAAATAGTTTTCTTATAAAGAGGCATTTATAGAGTTTCAAAATTTTATTTTTATTTTTTAAACTTCTCTAAATTTTTTATCCATTAAAAATAATACTATTAATATAATCATGTTTGAAAATATAAATCTCTGTAGAAATGAGATAAAGAAGTATATTTCAAACTTGGCGCCGTAGTAACATTGTATAGTGATCTCTGGTTATATTTGATCATCAGAGGTGCTGCACCACTGCTGTACACTTAACTGGCGGGTTGATTCGATTCATTGTTGAATCACAAAATTTATTAAATTTGTATTTTAAAAGAAAAATGAAAATATATCCTCTATTTGACATAAAATAAGATTTATCTCAATATTCTTTTTATGCACTTGAATAAACAATATGCTTGACTTTTATTCTAATATTGATTTCTTATATCGTAAGCTATAAACATAGATATAAAAAACAAATTTGTTTTATAAAACAGAAAGATTTTTTTCTTATAAGTTAATTATAAATTTCTACGAACCAAAAAAGTATACAGGTAACAAGAGATTTTTAAATTTTATTAAAAATATTATTTAAAGTATAGAAAAATATATTAAAATTTAAAAAATCTTCTGCAATAAATGGTCTAGTTATGTATCTTGCAGACACTTGCAGCTATCATTTATCATAGTGCATGATATATCCAGCTGCCAATTGTCGAAGCACCGGCAGGTCTATTCAGACAGGTAGTTACATACTTTGTGTAAAAGGGAGCAGCCGGTGTAACCTGAAAGTGGAGGGGGTTTTCGACGATGACACGACGCCATTAACTGTACGCCTGCCGACGCGTGCATGGCACTCCTCACCAGTTTTGTAATTATTCCGAAACGATTCGAGTATTCGAATCTTGGCGATCGTGGCGGTAGTCCATACTCGTATTAAAATTGTGTTTTTTACATAAATCGTAAGTACCGCCAAGAGAAGTGTGATTTTGGAAAATAAATTGGTGTTCAGTCACATGAATCACAATTGTATCACATCGTGTGCCATGGCATTGAAAAACACGCGATCTTACGTATCCCAATTTTAATATTATTATTGCGTCGAGTGAGAAGTGACGTGCTTGTTTAAAAAATGTGAGTGCGTTTTAATTTTCTCGTACAATATTCAATCTCGTATAGTATTTTACATATGCAAAATTGAATATGCGCGTCTACTCCAAATGTTCTGCTTCTTGTAACATGAGCCGGCAGCGCTGTCAGATATTGGCGCACTTTTACCGCATTTTCGAAATTGGCGCTCCGAAATGTTAAGAATAGATAGCTAACATAATTGTGAACTTAATTTTGCGTTAATACAATTGTACGAGCCGTTTTAATTTTGCAATAAAACGTGCAGTTTTCTTAGAACAAATTTACGTTGGTAACTCTGACAAGCGTCGACGCCCAAGTTTTGCGACGATCGCTTGATATCATTGTTGATTAAGGCGCGTATTTTATTCTTTCTCAAATTTCAACTCTAATTTCAGCGTAAACAATGGCAATCTTGGAGTCCTGCTGGTCACCGTGCGTTTGGTCAAACAGTGTTAAGTCTGGTTGCAATGCTATTGCATTTTACACAGTGGTAATTATCTCTTAATTAATTGTAATTAAAAAATTCCACAAAGTTAGAGGCAGATAATATTTAAGTATATCTAATAAAAGGTCATTTTACTCTATCATAAAACTTTATCCTAATAATTAATATTTGTTTTTCTCTTCAGGCAATTAGTATTGTCCTAATTACACTAATTTCCTATCAACTGGCTGGAGGTGATTCTACGCAACTATACAATCCATTATTCGAGGCGGATGTAAGAGGCTGTAAGTATGATATAAATTGCGTCTAACAATAATGTTTCAAAAAGAGAGTTTAAATATGTATAAATTTCAAAAATATACATTCATATTATGTTTTATCTTTACGAAGATTTTCGAAAGTATACTTGTATCGCTCTTGACGACAATACATTGGAAAAATTTTAATTATTAGTGAAATACAGGAATCTAAAAATGTACAGTGAGTCATTCTATTCAAACGACCCATGATACATTTATAATAGAAGCGAAGAGAAGTGATTTAGACTAAGCGATTATGTAAGCAAAAATTCTCGTATGTAGTTTAGTTCAACACGTTTCAGTACTATATCATTTATCTGACGTACTGTAAAAACTCATGAATTTTCGTATTCTAATTAAATTTTATTGTTTTTAATATTTCAATATACATCTCGAAACAAGATGAATAAATTTAAAATGTTTTTTACTTTTGATAGGCCACTTATAGCGCTATTGACGTATAATTAAAGAAATTGCTTGTCATTTTCAGCTATGCAAGTTTTTGGAGGATTTTTCATCTTCTATCTAATACTGTTGATTATTTGCGCCTTATTATTGGTTTACGGCGTAAGAAAAATAGTACGTGGATGGTTATTGCCATGGCTTATTATGTGGTTCATCGTCTGCCTGTTTCAATTCGTCTTCGGATTGTGGCTTTTAGGCGGCTACTATATCTATGTGAGTTTTTTTCTTATTTTGACGATGATTCTTTAATCGTACGATAAGTAATCATATCGTTTCTTTATGTTTTTCCTTCAGTTGGACTCCGTGTTTGCGACATTATGCCTCTGGCTTTGGATGTCTTACAACGTGAGTGCATTCTATTTATTTTGACATTATCGGTTAAACATTACTGGTCTAATTGGTTATAACGCTCATGTTTTTTTGCAGATATATTGTTGGCTGGTTGTTTTTTCAATGTACAAAATATTCGCAAAAATGCAATCTCCCAACATAGAACTTTTATGGCCTTGAAGAAGAGTACAACAATACCCGTACGTAAATAATACGTACGTATACAATAATTGTCACCAAAGTAAGGGAGAATCTCTATTTAAATTTACTCACAAAAACCTATTAGGAAAAAGAACACGTAAACTTGTTGAAGATAATTGAAATGCAGAGTTATAGAGGCATTTTCATATCTATAACTTTGTTAAAAATCTTAATGAACGCTTAAAAAGACAAGCTTCGCCTTTTCATTGCTTCTTATATATTTTTATAATTTTTGTTTTATAATTTTTACAATATACTTTTAGCATGATACCAATCATGGCATCAATCATGATATCATAAAAATAACATTTTAAATCACAAAAGTAATTTTAGACCGCGTAGATTGTAACACAATTGATTTTATATGAATTTCAATTAATGTTAACAATATCATAGTAGTTTTTTATTTAAATATCAATAATATATGCAATTTAATTGATGAAAATTTAATTAATAGATTTTTATTTAACGAAGACTGAAGGAGAGACCTTTTATAATATCCGTCCAAATCGCTGTAAGCTAATAGTTATACATGAAATTCAGAATCTCATTTACTAAACAAATCAAAATAATGACTATAACATCACATTAATTGAAAATTCGTGTCAGATCTTTTTATATAAGACCGCCGTTATTTTGATAATATTTTATAAATATTATACAATTTTTCTACGAGCTTTTTCATGTTAATCAAATATTATATATACATGATTAATTGATGTATGGAAAAATAAACATCTATTTATATTATATATGGGTTTCAAAATAAAAAAATTTTTTTGTTAAATCCTACAATACAAATAAAATAATTCCATATATTATCTTTTTTCCCTACTCCGTGAAATGCTTTATGTTTGTTCAAAATATAATAATATTTAAGTAACAATCTTTAACTGTAAATATATACGTTTAACGCAAAGTTTTATTCTGGCAGAATGTTTATAAAAAAGATAGTAAATAAATTTTGCATTTAATTTTATATTCCCACATTGCCCACGTTATATGCAGAGTATATGCAGAGTATATGCAGAGTATATGCATAGATGGCATAACGATTCACTTTATTCAAGCAAAAAGAATTTATCTACAGAAGATACGACACGCTAGTTTTGAACAAAAATTTAAAAAATTTTACAATTTTGTAATAATTAATATTTATGTATAATATTATATTCTTAGTGTATTTTTGTATTATCTTTTTAAATTATTTGCATATAATGTTTTGTTGTTATATAAGAAAAGATTATCATACACATATTAGATACAATTTTGACCAAGTATGAAAATTATTGCAAATTATAACGAACAATATTAAATAAGATTTATAATTTAAAATAATGTTACTAATAACATATGAAATGATTAGTTTCATTCATTAATAATATGTAAAATTTATACCATGTTACTGCATTGTAAAAAGATTCAATGCAAAATTTGTTTAGTTGTAAGTTTACTTGCGATGTGTCTACACATTGTGCGACTAAGAGGTTTCAATGCATGCGTACTCGTGCGTATCTGCGCGTTCGCAGCACGTGCAAAGCTTGAAATCGTATATCATTTTCTAAATATGGAATTCAATGCAAATATCATCTATCGCGGGATTAATTTACGAGCGATGGGGCGAAAACGCGATGCGCGATGTCTTTGCGAGAAACCAGGCGCTTTCTATAAGCGACCCAAGATCTGTTGTTCCTGTTTCAGTGATTAATGACAACGCGAGAAATCCTCCCTCGTGGGACCACCGGGTTTGCGCGCGAGCCCAACTGTCGAAGGCGATATTAATGGATTCGTCCTAGTAAAACGTAGTTTCGTATCTTGCATCCAATTAGCGACGCCGCCTGTCGTGAGCGGAGAGAGCGCGGGGACTTGACAAATTCTCGCGAAATAACGGCGCACGTTCGCGGATTAACGACGCGCATGTCTGTATCATCGCCCGTGGCGGCGTTTGAAACATAATTAAGCAGATATTTCGTAGTGATAGCAGTTACCGTTTGTCTTTGCTTCGAATGTACTTCGAATAGGCTGTTTCGTGTATTCTTTACACTTCTAAGCAATGAGTAAGATAAAGAATATTTTCATTATCTTATCTGTTGCTCTTTCAGTTTAAATTGATAAGCATGAAATTAAAAATTAATCTTAATTTAAATTATAACACATATTAGAAAATATTTTTATTCAAGTATTAGGTGTCGAAATAAGTTAAATAAAACCGAGATTACTTTTATTATCAACAATAATGAAGAATATTTTCATGATTGAGCTTTTTTAATAAAGTTTTGATTCTATCCAAATCAGAAAGAATGTATTTCACACCTAATACATTGAAAACTTTAAATAATTTTTTTTCTAATATTTTTATTACACATTTATTTTAATATATTCGGGCATATCTTGTACTTGTACTTTACTTTCGATTAATAGAAGCTCTATTTTTACAGAAGATAAGATTCACAGCTATTGCACTGCAGGTAGTGTTTTCTGCAGTTGCAGTCTTTCCTTTACCGATAGCTCTACATACGCATACACGTGCATTGAATTGCAGGCGGCCTAGAAGTGCTGATAAAACTGATATCGCGTATAACGCATCCATAAACGGTGTGTAAAAGTATGAATGGGACATTCTTCTTGTACTGATAATAGTGCGAAAGGAAAACCTTGTTATACAGACTCATTCAAAACACGCAGTCTAAAAGTACTATTCGCAATACACGTTTTTACTTCATTATGTCCATATTTCCCGCATTTAAATTCTTTTTATAACTTTATTTTTGTATGAAAAGTATTGCATATTATTTATGCGAATAAAATTGAGTATGCCGTATTCACATACCTTTCCAGTTACTTTTCATCTTGAATTAAGGACAATAACAATGACATGAATTTGAGCATTCGCGTGATTTGCATACGATAAAAGTTCGCAGACTGAGAAAGTGACAGCGTAAAAGAATCGGCACGAGCGACGACAGAGCGTACTTGCCGTCGTACGACGGCAAAGTCAGACGAGTCAACGGCCCTAAACGTCAAGCGGAAAGGGCGGAAACGGCGGGCCGCGCATAAATAAGCGGTTGGAAACCACAATGCGTTTGCGGAGACATCGCGTGTGGGCAGCGGCCGCGGTGTCGTACCGGCCACCCGACCTGAAAATCAATGTGAAACAATTTGGCTGACGGCATCTCGCGTGACATGCCGTAAATCTCCCGAACGTCGATGATCTTTGCAGATATTTTGTCTCCGGCGTGCCGCCGTAGAATGTAACATTACACTTCGACAAGAGACGAGTTTGTCAAAGTAAATTGAAATTCTAAATCATGGAACATGCATAACATGCCGTAAGGTATAAGATACAATAAATAATGAAAAAGAATCAAATAATCATATAATAATATTCTTCGAGCTAGCAGTAATGATAATTAAACGATACTCACGAAAGCAAAACCATAAAACCAAGAAATAAATCTGTTATCCTTTCTAAAGATAATAAGATTATGATATATTATATTATTACTGAAATATCATAATTATTTTTGCTCGTCGAAAATTTAATTCAATTTCCACTACAACATTAGAACAATTACTTCCGTAATAAATTTATTGCCACGGTATAATAAGAGTTAATGGTTATCATAATAACCATAATAATCGTTATCGTAAAATAGATTTATTACCATAATCTCTCTTACTTTCGTGTAACTACAATATTTAAAGATGCTTAGGTTTAATGCGATTCTCTCATATATCTCTGTAGTTTCGTGATTAACAATAATTACGCCCGCAAGTGCCGTTTAAGGACATTGCGAACTTTCGACTTTCCCTTCCCTTCGTCTGCCAATTATAATCGCCGCGTTTGGATGAGTCTTAACGTCTTCGGAGCATTTCACAAGTTGTTGTCCACCGCTCGTTAAGCCGGTTTCACGATTTACGATTCCGCCGAGCGAAATGCGAATAATCAAGAAAGAGACAGCAATGGCAGAGGAGGTATCGCGATGCCTTGAGAGAAAACGGGAGGAGAACGAATTAAAGGAAGCGGAATCACTCGTAATGACTGTAAGTACCTCGTGCTGCATCCATGGCAAGCATTATGGTTTCATAAAAGATCACGATGCTTACTCCCGTCAAGTTTATGCAGCGTCCGACTTGTTCTCCGTAAAATGGAGATTAATCTTTTGCCACTCGTGTTAATCCGCGACGAATTTCAATGGCTCGCTTTGACTTCTTGTGTGCTCACGCTTTATCGTTTTCATGAATGAGAAGCGACGATGAGCATCCAGATAAGCTATCAAGCTGTTGGATATCAATCTGCGTTGAGTTGTTTTGCAAGTCGTAATCTTACGATACGTCGTTTCGATTGCTTCAGTGATTCTCAATTCATTATTTTCCAGAAACTTGTAGATTTCGCAGACGTATGTACAATAAACATTCGTTCCTAATCTTTAAATTTGAATTTTTGGGTATTTTTAAATCAATCTTATCGCTACAATATATAAGTAGAAAAGAATTGTGGCGATATCGGTCAATTCACGCATGATTTACACTTGTTCGAAGCACTTTTATTCGATGCGTGAAATTGAAATCTCGATGGAGTTCAATGTTTATCCTTCAATCTTCTTCGGAAAAAATAACACCCTCGCTCGGTGGCTCCGATTTCATCTCGACGTGGGCTCATCAGAATACGCCGAAGAGAAGATGGATACTTTTTAAGAAAACACTTAAGTTACGGTCTGCCCCGCATCAGGTTTGAGACGCCCCGAGGTCGAGCGATAACCATTCGAAGAGATATGTATTAAGTAAACCTCTTCGAGCGATCCCTCCCCAGTCGAGTCGAAGTGCATTCGATCTATTCACGCATATTTTCAATCCTTATGTTTTATTATTCACAGCAGCACGTAGGAAAACTCCTCTACCTGAGTTTCTCGCATCGGAGAGCTTCTTTCAGCCTTTGTTATTGATCCTTCGTATCGTATGGCGAATCGTTTCCTTCCGAGCTAAACCTC